TTTTATTAATATTCATTGTCTCTTCTTTCCTATTGAAATTATCCCTATACTTCTGTATCTCTATTGCCTATGTATATATTCTTGGTAGTAATTTTGGGCACTGTCGAGTATTACTGTATCTTCTAATGAGACAATATGAGTAGCTTCCTTGTTGAGAAAAGATTATAGACATGAAGCTACGTCCTGGTGACATACTAGTGAGCTTCGACGTGGTCTCCTTATTCATGATGGTGCCGACCAAGGAAACGATACGGCTAATTAACGAAGTATTCCCAGCAGATATAACCACGCTCTTCTCACACTGCGTATCATCAACCTATTTTCAGTGGGATGGAGTGTTTTACGAACAAACGGTCGGTACTGCAATGTGAGAAACAAAACGTCCCATGTTTTTTACCACTGGCATTTGTAACTTACGTTACTGCAGTTTCGTCCAATGACATTTTCAAACGTATACAATAAACTCGTTTATGAAACGTTTGAACGAAACTAGAGTATCATTAGTTACAAATACAAGTGGTAAAAATATAGGAAGTTTTATTTCTCTTTTCTTAGGCAATAGAGAAAGAAACCGATCACAACGATATGACATAAATTCTCCCACTGATTACCTATCAATGTGAAATGAGATTTCAATGAAACCCTCATAAATCATATTTATAACTGCTGAAATACGTTGAAGTCGTGGTGGAAACCGCTTGTTTTCTATTGAACCCACAGGATCTTGCAAAAAACGCACATTGATTCACGAAAGAAATTAGCGTCTGTAATATAATACGATACATTGAGTTTGCGGAATGCACACATATCAATGAAAAACTAAATGAAGGCCGATTCACATCTTCTATTCGAATTCCAGTCAGGTCACATTTTCTCAATTTAGTTTTTTGTTTATATGTCTGTAAATTCAATCTTTCAGGTCACTGATTCACGTACTATGAATACTGACTCACATGTATCATCATATTCTATGTTACCATATCGAAAATTTTAGGTTATAGAATCTTTTGAAATGGTAAATTTTGACTGTAGAACACCACACACCGCTCATTGCTTGGCATCTGGAGAAATTATGATTTCAACAATGGGAGACCGAAACGAAGAAGCAAAATGTGATTTTATACTCATAGATGGTAAAACTTTCAAAACAAAAGGTAGGTATGTGCATCTATATTTAATAGATATTATTTCGAATTAATCTCACACAAATTTTACTTATTGATATTCTGTTTATCACAAACTCAACATAAACAACATAAAGGTCAATAACTATCTTAATCTAGTGTGTGTGGGCTTCAGAATATAGAATCGTTTTCGAAATCTTACAATCCATCCACCAAAATGATCAATGTGTCAAACGACATAAACAGGTTAGATATTTGTGATGCACTGTTTGGAACTTTTGGTGTGGTAATGAATATTACTGGAGTTCTATCCCAACACCAAACAATAATAATAATAATGATAATGCCCTACGCTCCAGGGGATATTGAAACCGTTGTGGGGAACGAGAAGTGCCGAATTTATTGGAACTATTCGTTCCTCACTCTCAGGCTCATATAAGCTAATAAGCCCGATATGTAACCAGACCACCAGAGCAAGAAGATATTTGTCGTGGAGTTTTCAGCTCCTGGCAAGACGAATATCGTCCGAAAAGAAGAGGAAAATGGATAAAATATCGAGATTTTCTCTTCGAACTCCGCAGACTCTATTCAGACCACCCTGTCAAGATGGTTGTTCTGATTATTGGAGTCCTTGGTGGAGTGATGCTCTCTCTATTCACGAATCTTAAAATAATACTGGCCTGCCGCACTAAGGCAAAAATCTTAGCCGGAAAGATGCAGAAGGCTCTCATTCTTGGCTCACTGCGTCGCTTGCTCAGGGCACATGGTTCTCGGACCCAATGATCATTTACCCCTCGGTGTGGGGAGTGATCGTTGATTGATAATGCTGGCGCGCCCTCTCGAATGTATCGGGGCTTCGGGGGATAGGGCCTGACCAGCGCATACTTCGATAAAAAAATAATAATACGTATTTATATTCACCATGAAAGTACAATCGAAACAAACAAAAAGAGGAAAAAGAAAACAATTTTCAGTATGAAGGCGAATAGGCTGTTTTTCAACTCGAAATAGCAATAAATCAAACAATAAAAAAGAAGTCGAATTAACAGTGATACTGTCATGACAAGATCAGAAAATGTGAGCAACCGCTGTAGAATATTGCTTTTTGTAATGCCAAGGTCGAGAACGGACGATAGACTAGACAGTTGAGTAGATCTTCAGTCTTATTTTTAAAGTTTTTCATTGTATAAGATATAAACTCATGGGGTCTAAAAAGAAAGATTCATTCGCACTGAAGAGAAACCAGAAACCAAAAACTCACGGGGTAGTTGTAATGTTTAGGTGCATTATACGAGAAGCAGCGGGTGAAGATGGAAGATTTGTGTTTGGGGATGACTAAAACTGAACTGTTCTTTGTGGTAAAACTTATTATTGTTGAGAATGTTTTAAGTTCCTTCAGTAAGTAATCAGGTTGATAAGATATCAAAACTCAATGCGTGCTGATTAGTAGATGAATATTCTAAGTTTCTCAACTTTTAACCATACTAATTCTTGCATGGCTGAAGATATAAGGTCACATTTTCAGATACCAAACGAAAAAAGTAGACAACTATTCTGAATACGCTGTAGACGGAGAATATCCGATTGTTTTAAAGCAGGTCCATGAATACTGTCGCAATAAGAAATTTTTGACATTATCTGTGACTCGCATACTATCAGTTTCAAGTTTGTGTTGAGCAAATCACGATTTGGAAACAGCTGCTTGAGGACGTTATGAGAAGTTTGGTTCAGCAGATAACTGACATGTGTTTAGTGAAGCAAAGTTCTGGATCAAACCACAGTCCTAAGTTTTTCATCTCGGTCACGGAGGAAAGTATTTCATTTTCGATGCGGACTTGAAAAGTGGAGTCGGTGACCTCTGTTCTTTTTGGGTCCAAATTGTTATTTTCAATACGTCGACACGTGTTTCAATGACAAAGTGATCATCTTTAAGAGGAAGATTAAATTGTTCAATCTCCCTCTTGAAGATGATCACTTGGTGAAAAACACGTGTCGAGGTGTAAGAAAGAACGGTTTGGTGTTGGGATAGAACTCCAGTTATATTCAGGTTAGATATTGACATATTTGTTTGAATGGTGTTCAAACTTCTATTATCTATACCCTTATAGCACATGTAGGTCCTATAGACGTACGTAGAACGTACGTTATAAGCTCAGGTGTCCTAAGATTCTAGTGACTGACGTACATTTTGCTTGACTTCTTAGTGTATCGAAACTAACATTCCATACAAAATAAAATTTAATGAAATTACTCAGGAAATCACAACGAAGTTTCCCATGTTATCATTGAAAGTTTCTATTGATATCAAGTTCTGGATATATAACGAAATATTTTATGAATATATTTATGAAAATGAAACATAGCGTTGAGAGTTATAAACTTTCAAGAAGGGCAAGATACGAATAAGTAATCCGAGAACGTTTTCGGTTTTTTCATTGAAGTCATTCGATACCAACATGGAGGAAAAATGGAAAAAATCAATCAAGACGAACATGGAATGGTAAAAATGTATATTAGAGCTTCTCGCTAGGTCAATACATATCCAAGCAAAACTAATGCAATATTTTGATAATAAATTGATGGATACAGCCGTTTCTACGTAGTAGGAAATCTCCATGGAAAATGAGAATTAAAACTTCCTATGGTTTTATACCACTTGTATTTGTAACTAACGTCACTGCAGTTTCGTCCTACAGGGTCATTTTCAAACGAATACAAGGAACTGAAATAATTAACAATGTGCACTCTTATTTACCTATATAACCACAATATGTAATAATAGACCGTACTGACTGACTGAATTTCGTTTACCTGTGACAACGTGGGTACGCTAAACTAAAATCCAGCGAGTAGATCAGGTAAATTTGATCATTTAGGAGTTTACTTCCCAATGCTTATGTTTGTGAATTTCCAAGGATTCCAAATAATTAGGTTTTCATCCCTGCCTGCATAGTGCGGAATTTCCGTATCGTTCAGATTTGAGAACGTGTGGTTGCATTCCAAGGAATGGTTTGAAAACGTTCGATCATTTTTATTTATTATGAAGGACCTTTCATGTTCAGCCATTTTGAGAAATTTCGCCACATTGTCCAACATAAACACTATTACACTCCGGACACTTGAGCTTATAACATCCAGATTCCTAGATCTTGTCCACTTTATCTTTGGCAATAAAAATGAAAATAGATAAACTGGCATGTGGTCTGATTGCCACTTCCACATTGTTTTTCTGTTATTTTACCAAAATATATTAAAGTTGCAAATTTTTTGATTTCTGATTGTTTGATATGAGGATTTTTAGCAGACAAAGGCAATGAGAATGCTCTGTAATCTTCGTCTGCTAACAATCTGAATAGGGAAATCAAAACCAATATACAGATAGGACAGAATAATGTTTTCGACGAAGATGCAATCCAGAAGTTAGTCAGAAAACAAAGCCTCAAATTTACGTATAGATTAATATACCCCCAGATGATCAGAAATTAAGAAATATGTGGAGTTTTTCAGAAAAAACCATATGGACATAGCATGCCAGGTTGGTTCTCTAATTTTCTTTTTAATGCCAAAGATAAAGTGGACAAGCATTACGGATGTAACCAAATTGACTTGGTCTACTCGCTAAATTTTAGATTAGCGTACATTGGCACAGTCATTAAGGGCCGTCTGTTATAACATACTATGGTTGTATAGGTTGTATATGTGCACATTGCTGATTATTTCAGTTTATTGTATTGTCCTGAACTGCAGTAACGTTAGTTACAAATACAAATGATATAAAATCATAGACAGTTTCAATTCTCATTTCAAATATTTTAAAACTGATTAATACAGTCTATTCTTTGGTTTTCACTATAAAGGGTTTCACAAAAACCGCGACACGTGTTTTGCTATAGCGAAACACTTGTCGCGGATTTTGTGAAACCCTCTATTATAAAAATTATAAAATGAACTGAATTAATTAGTTTAAATATGGATTTTCATCAAGTATCGGCCAGTTCTATTCAAATATTTCAATACCCTAGCGGATTAATACTCTCGAAATAGTTAGGTTGCACTCGAGAAATTAATTAACTCGAGAGGGATATCGAGACTGGTCTGCTGATTAACTGGTGGACCGGAATAAATATATTCTATACTGCGTCCCTAGACACTTTGGAATTACAGGAAATAAAAATAACGTAGGAGTGTGTCATAAACGGATTATTAGCTGCAAGGCTACTAGCTGTGGTTTAGCCTAGCACACCGATGAGACTTATGACAGATTGAAACAGCATAGTATGGCAAATGTGTTATATTTGGAATATTTCAGCTGTATGCCTTGCAGTGAAAGCTGCAGTGAAAGATAGAAGATGAATCTCGTCTGCGGTCGATGACGAAGTCCAGCATTGCATTTGTGGTTTAGCCTAGCGCCACTGATATGGCGGGTCAACACAGCATTGTCATAAATGTGTTGTCTTTGGGCTCTGGTTTGCAGCCAATAAAGTTATTTGCGAATGTGAGGCATTGAATCATAAGACATGGAAAATCCAAATTATATTCTGGGAAATATGCCAAACTTCTAACAAATGAAGTATAGAAAATAGTACAGGCTGAACGATCGATTTTTACTTGCTATCGTACAACCTGTGTTAGGAATCACACGTTAAAAGGTAAGATCCCGTTAGTACTTAGGTCGCACAAGCGAGCATACATACATTTCAAACAAGATTTTAGGAATGACTATAATGAAAAGATTGAAGGAAAAACGTAACAAGCCCTTCAGGCTGCACTATATCAAAACTTCAAAAGGGGTCCCGAGGAAAAAAATCGAATTTGTTTTATTGATAATTCTTGATATATATTGATGTTTACATGAAATTATGATTGGAGAGCTATGTAGTATTTGATATAATGCGTATTCAAAAAAGGTCAATTGATTCACAAGTAAATTAGTCATTGGGATAGTTCTCTTGATATGAACACTAGGTAGGTCTTCATAATTCTTGTATTTATGCTTAGGATTCTACCTAACTTTATTATGCAGAAATTCAATTGAAATAAATTTCAAGGGACTTGGATTAAAGGAGACAAAAAACCAAAATTCAACTACGACTTCTGGTATCAACCTTATTTTGATGTTATGGTATCCACTGAATGGGGAGTACCTAAACTCTTTAAAAAGGGCTACAATCCTACAGAGGCAGCAAACTCAGACACATATGGCAGGAGTTTGAACTTTTTTTCATGGAGTAAACGGGAACTTATACAGTCCATCAATCTAGGTGAAGAAGGTATTGCCCCACTGGAAATCAGGTTTCTGCATAACCCGAAGGAACCACAAGGTTATGTAGGATGCGCAGTGAACGGAAACATTTTCAGGTGCGATTCAGGGCCTAAATTACTAAAATATTGATATAGTGAATAAAATCAGAAAAACTCAATTTTTCTTCAGACAAAAGATAGAGCCAAGTGTCGCGTAACACTTTGAACTAAATAGGTATTTGAAGAAGAATAATTTCGTGAAATCTTACTTGAAACGTTTCAAGGTATTCATCAGAATTTTTGAATTTACAAGTTTTTTTCTAATATGTTTAATTAGTACATTATATCGTCTAAAATTTTGATAAAATACATTTGAAATCCATTTTTAATAGGTAATAAGAACCGAATATTTGAATACCCAGCTGAAGTTTATTTTATTATCTCATTTTTCACTATTTTCCAAATTTTCTCATAAAAAGTTTTTTTTCAATACCCTATGGAAATAAATTATATGGCAGCCGGATCAACTAGTTCATATATAACGAACCAGAAAATTATCTGTATTGATTGTTCTTCTACACCTTTTACACCTTCATATTCATATTATACACACACACAACAGCTTTTTCAGGATGCCTATAATTTTCTCAGTCAAAAGACTGCAATTCATTTCAATGTTCTCAACTTTGTTTCCATTTGCGATATTACATATTTTATTTTGATAGATATACATTTTGAATGTTCAAAATAATATAGGTTTTTTTACTTTTTCAGATTTTATCTCAAAGATGATGGCACTTGGGCTGCTGATAAAGTTATAAATGTTCCTCATAAAAAAGTTTCTGGATGGGCAGGAGGCTATCTTTCAGGTAAAATATTTTACCTTTTTTATTATGACAGTTTTTTTCAATTATCTATGTTTTTTAGGAATGATCACAGATATTCTGATTTCTCTGGATGACAAATATTTATATTTTAACAATTGGCTTCAAGGAGATGTAAGACAGTATGATATAACGGACAGAGCTAATCCAAAGTTGACAGGTAAACGATTTACTTGAGACCATACTCTGAAAGATAATACTCGTAGAGTTATTCTTTTTATTTTACTTATTCTGTTCATGCACAAGCCTCAAGGATTTGTATCAAATAACTGGAAACTTCGGGCCAGAACGATTCATTATCACACAGGAATCTAATTCATGTTTTATTTGTACATAAACAGATTCTTGATATGTACTACATGATATCAAGCCAGTTTTTTCGTATTCAATTTACAAATATCTTGTTTGCAACGTCTGCTGATCTCTACAAAAAGCCCCCACTCCAGAACCGGCCAATATCACAGATGTCTCATCAGCGAACTGCAGGACTAGTTCCGGACTCAGCGCTTCCGGTAGATCGTAGACATAAAGTAAAAATAGAATTGGTCTCAGGATAGACCCCTGCGGGACTCCTTGGGAAGTTTCATTCAGTTCAGAATGAATCAGTTCACTTCGTAAAATGCTTGTGATTTGGTAGCGTTCTGACATTAACGACTTCACTTACAAATCAATATTTCATCCTCTGACAAATTTCAAGAACATGCTTAGTCTTTTGTCATAAACATATTCAACTCTTTGTTGTGTTTCTGCTGTTCTACTTGAATTGACATGAATCATTTTTTTTCAGCAGCCAATCTATGACAGCCAGTTGTTCTAATTGATCTGTTTATTTTTGAACGGTTTTAGTTAGCTTGCTTTGTTTGTTTGGGTAAAATTTAGTAATTGAAGTTTGACCTCCATTCCTGTTGACAGTGTGATCTGATATTTGGTACACACATTTAGTTTTAATGACAATTTTGATACAATTCAATAAATACTATATCATTGTATCCAAAATGGCCGCAGCTACAAAATGGCGAATTACATATTGCTTCACAACTACCTAAACATGGGTATCAAATGACAGGGCTTGAATAGTAAAATAGTAGTACACTGCGAAAAAGATACACATTCAAAATGGACGCATCTACAAAATGGCGGATCACAGTTTTTTTCACAACTACCTCAATATGGGAATCAAATGACATGGATGACTAGTACAATAGTAGTACTTTGAACATCCGACAACATCCATATCAGCCAATCAACTGAAAACTCTTCTGTATACTTTCATGGCTGCCGTAGCTGCTGCCAGCGTAACTTTGTTCAATAATATTACAATCTATTGTTTCATCAGAAAAAAATAATGTTTTTATTGAACGAGAATTCACATTGGAGAGTTCCATTTCTGTCTTACAAATTGTACTCTCTCATCAAATTGGCACAAACAACAATTGCACCTTATATCAGTGAAATTTGTTCTCAAAAAAACTTTAGAAACTTTATTTTTTCATTTATCGACATGTGAAACGACCCTATAGGACAGTTAACTGGATGTGTAACATTTGGCTCAACTAGTATGTATACAATACAACGTGTACTCCACAACACGCCTATGGAAAAATTGGTTTCCGTTAATTTGGCTAAATTATTTCAGCGTCCTGAAAAAATGTCTCAATGGGCAGAAGATCCCAAATTCATAGGGTCCCACGATGAGGCCCGAAGAGTCAATCATCTGTAGAATCCACTTCGTCACAATAGTGAAATGTGTTTAAGAATTCATTTCTTAAATTATGAAATATTTCTGGTGTGATTTCATTGCAATTCTAGTCATGAGCTATGGAATAAACTGTGTGATGGATACTTCAGATTTCCCGAATCCTCACAAAAACTCAGGGTGTCAATTTAATGATCTATTGGGCCATTCTAAAGACCACGTCTGCCCATCAACCGATCAAGATGATTTCCATCTAGGTACTTCCGAACCAGCCTGTCATAATGAGGAAATGTATGATTTGGTACTGTCAATTATTCACACCGCTTGATAGGCAGACATTCCTTATGAAAGCCCGATAAATCACCTGATGATAATAATAAAATAATGATTTTATTCCAGTCAGATCACAATTCAAATGAATAGTCAAAAAAAGAGAACACAGCACATGTATTATTGGAGTCTAAGAACGTGCCTAAAAACTTCGTAAATTATGATGTACTCAATGTCCCGTTACGTATACTAATTTCCGGGACCATATTATTGTTTTTTATAGAGTATTGCATAAAAATGGTTTTGTTGTGGTTAAGTGTTAATCGCCTTTAGAATATTTTGAGGTTCAACGTGGAATCTAAAATATACGTTAAACGACATTACACAAGCGCAGTTCATTCCAACCTTGCCTTGGAACCGTCGAAACATTGAAACATTTGTTCAGGTCATAAGCGCCGCGCAATATTTCACATTCAAAAACATTGACCGAATATAAACAAATGGCTGAGCCAATTACTAGCAAAACTGATATCATTTATATTTATTACGGCAGGTCTTGCCTTGGGACCATTGAGTTCTGGGTCTTGTGCCCATTCAGACAATTCCACTTTTCACCTAGGTGTTTTTCAGAAGCGTTCGTTTTAAACACGATTCACCGCTAATTGTGATATTGGAGAACAGTTTGACTGAGTTTCATTGAGAACAGTTCGTTTCCAAAACGCAATCATCCTTAAAACTGTTTTTTTTCCAGTTTCAGTGAGTTTTGTTATTAACTTTTCTTGAATTGTGACAATTTTACAGATTAAATACACTAAATCATATTCGACATAGGCAATTGCTTCCACGAAGTCTCCTCTTATATTGATATTTTCATTCGAATACATTTCGATTATTAATTTCGTTATTCATTAACTGATTCTGACTTTCAGGTTCATTCAGTGGATAACACTTTTCAAGACGAGAGAACAACGGAAAAGTCAAGATAATTTAGCTCCAATAAGAAAAATATTTGGCGAAGTAGTGGAGAACTGTCAAAAACACTACTCTATTGGGAAATATGCTACAATCGATGAAATGCTGTGGTCTTTCAGGGGCTGTTGTCGTTTTAGGATGTATATTCCAAGTAAGCCCGCTCGATATGGAATAAAGGTATTTTCATTAGTAGATTCAAGGTCATTCTATACTTACAATATGAAAGTATATTGCGGTAAACAGCCTCCAGGTCCTTTTTGTGTTAGTAACAGTTCATCTGATGTAGTGAGTAGGCTCTGTTTACCACTGTCAAAATCTAGGAGAAATGTTACAATGGATAATTGGTTCACTTCCGTTGAAGTGGCCAATAATTTACTGAAAAATCATCAGCTGACAATCGTAGGAACACTTAGAAAGAATAAGAGGGAAATTCCCGATGATTTTTTTACTAAACGACCAGAAAAGTCGAGCATGTTTGGTTTCACAGAAGATATGACTATCGTTTCATATATACCGAAAAAAAATAAGCAGGTTATTTTATTATCAACCCTTCATCATGATGATTCTATTGATGAGACAACTTGGTACTGAACTTTTGATGGAATACATGAAGAGCAGAGTGAACTCCCAATATCTGCCAAGAGAAATTCGACAGCTAACAGCTAGAACTAGTGGTACTGTGTTGGTTGAGCGTGTCGAAAATGAAGAAAATAAACGTGGAAGATGTGCCTTCTGTAAAGATCGGAAAACAAAATATACATGCCGGTTCTGTAAAAAATATATATGCCTAGAACATTCTGTATCTGTTTGTCAAGTATGTACTGCAAATTTTTCGGAATAATTGTTAAACATAGTGTTTAGTGCAACGATACCAAAAATGCATACTGTTTTTATTTTAATTCGATTTTTTTTATGTTTTGAAAATATGACATTATTTTCCTTTCATTTCATAACTATTTGTCCATATAAATGATTTATGTAACACTTTATCAGAAATAAAAATTCATTTAAAAAATTTGATTATTCTCGTTTTGGGTATATCAGACCTAAGGCGTTCTTTGATGTAAAAATTAATGACGCGTCTGGTGCAGGGTTAACCGAATATAAACAAATGGCTGATTCAATTACTAGCAAAACTGATATCATTTATATTCATTACGGCAGGTCTTGCCTTGGGACCATTGAGTTCTGGGTCTTGTGCCCATTCAGACAATTCCACTTTTCACATAGGTGTTTTTCGGAATCGTTCGTTTTAAACACGATTCACCGCTAATTGTGATATTGGAGAACAGTTTGACTGAGTTTCATTGAGAACAGTTCGTTTCCTTAAAACTGTTTTCTTTCCAGTTTCAGTGAGTTTTGTTATTAACTTTTCATGAATTGTGACAATTTTACAGATTAAATACACTGAATCATATTCGACATAAGCAATTGCTTCCACGAAGTCTCCTCTTATATTGATATTTTTATTTGAATACATTTCGATAAATAATTTCGTTATTCATTAAGTGATTCTGACTTTTTGGTTCATTCAGTGGATAACACTTTGCTTTTTTTAATTTATATAGTTAGGGTTACCATCCATTAGGGATGAAGGAGTGGAATGTTGAAAATAACAGGCTCAAAGACTAATCTAACAATAAAATCGGCCTATAAGAGTATTCTTCCCAAAAATGTTATCCATCGTTTTTATAGAATTCTTCATGCACTGTAAAATATCCACTCGATATTTTTCGCTAACTAACAATATTTTCTACAGATATATTACCATTTCATCACCCCTTCAAGCAAGTCTCATTTTACACCAATGAGTGATGTTTTAGTATTGAATACCGTGTTCGTAAAACTAATTATCTGGAAAGAGTTTTCATAATTTTGGAGGTTTGCCGGTAAATCAGTGTCATAATTTGCATTAAATATTCACTTATTACATTTTGTATATTATACTTCTAATAGGTCACTACTATGTAGTTAACTATTGAACTTAGAATATCTTCTCTTGTTCCTGATTCTATAACGACCCTCGGCCAAGGGCATTGAGTTAGCGTTATCAATAATATAATGCGCATGAAGTGCATATATATTCAACTTTGATCATTGCTTTAATGTACATATCCAATATGCCACAACATTAGAAATTCAAATAGAAAAAATCGAAGATCTTTGATGTCATATGTTACAATCCATCCACATTGGGAATAAATGGTAGAGGCCATCCATCTGCAAATGTGCATATAATATTTATATACTTGAATATACATACGATATTTGAATTTATACAAACCAAAAAGCACATAAATTAGATCTATTTGGAATTGGGATACATATTGCATGAATATATCATGGGTTGAAAAAGCCCCATTCCATGATTTGGTAATCAAATGAACATAAAATACCTGTTTTTGTCTTATGGTGATTTATTTCTGTTTTTAGGACAAATATTTTTGGGAGGAAAACTCCTGAGTGAAGTTCCACAACTCACCGAACCACCAAAACCAGTTTATATCAAAGGAAAACGATTTTATGGTGGTCCTCAGATGCTTCAATTATCACTTGATGGTAAAAGGTTGTATGTATCCTGCAGCGTTTTGTCACCCTGGGACCGTCAGTTTTATCCAGAGATGGTACAAAATGGAGGAAAAATGGTTAGAATTGATATTGATACAGAAAATGGCGGTATGAAATTGAATGAAGACTTCTTGGTTGATTTTGGAGAAGGGCCGGACGGCCCACTGTTGCCCCATGAAATGAGGTATGTGCATATATTTCAATGAGAGAAATATGACAAGATATTATGACAATTATGATAATTGTGACAATTATGATGATTATGATAATTATGACAAAATTTTGTATGGAAATGAACGATAAAATGTTTGAAATAGTCAGGGTTTCCTAAAACCCATAATGATGAATTGGCCCGGTCTCCAACTCTGGGGTCGTGAGTTAAATTCCAATTTCGACCAGATATTTTTTTACGACAATTTCCATGCAAACGACCCTATATTTTCAACTCAAAAAAGTCATATTGAAACAGTCCTTTATATTTTCAGGTACCCTGGTGGAGACTGTACATCCGATATCTGGTTAGCGGAACACTAATGAATTTTGAATTTACATACTGAATATTATATTGCAATAAAGAAATCCTGAAGAAAATACTCTCAATATTTGCCTGCCATTTACAGCTCACATAGAAATCATCCATCTCATAATGTGAAGGGTTATCTAGTTCATTGATTCGTTCATTTCAATCGGTTTGAAATCGCTATTGATCAGTTACTTACCTCCACCACATTCCCAGTTCATTCTAATCAGTTTCGACGATAATCTCAAGGGTTCTAGCATGAAATTCGCTGTTCTGTTGTTAGGGTGAAATTACAATTCAGTTTCAACTATTTCAAGTTTCATTTACAGGCACGTTCGTGAAAAGACTTTCAACTTTTAATCAAACGAACAAAAATCTGTGAAATTTTCATGAAATATTGAATGAAAGTCATGTTTTCGTTTTCTCAATTGATTCAGCTGACCTTGCTTGTGTACCTGTAAGGACAGGTAGCCAGATTTTATTGATGTTCATTGCCTCTTTTTTCCAATTAAAATATCCTGTGTTTTATATATCTATTGCCTCTCTTCATATTTTGGATAGTAATTTTTAGTATTATCGAGTATTACTGTATCTTCTAATGAGATAATGTGAGTGCTATCTTCGTTGAGAGCATTACAGCTGATTTGTCGGTTTGTCCGAGTTGATAATTTCTCTTGATTTCAGAGAGACGGGCACCCACACTTCTTTTCATGGCTCCAATGTAGATCGACCCGCAGCTACAAGGAATCCAGTTTACCCCGCACTGTTGAAACTGTCTATAGTAATTTTACAAAAAAGCGTTGGATTGTTACCGCATAACATTTTTTCAATAATAAAATCACGTTTTGTGAAATTACTACACGAACAATCCCAACTTTGGTTCCACGTTGTGTTTCTCTCACATTTTCTCAATCCGGTCTGAAACATTTCCAACCCAGATAAGGAAAGCTTTTTCCTTAATCAGCCTAGCTGGAGTTAATTTGGCTTTCCCTCTCTTGGGTCGTATGGCCCACTCGAATTCTCCTTCGCTGTACCCATTTCTTTTTGAAGCATTTTCAGGTGATTGAGTTCTTCAGAAAGTATTTGAGCCAATTCAGAAATTATTCTGTTTGATATATCGAAAATGAAAGAACTGAGTATGCTAATGATTACCATTCGGGTATTATGAAATGAAACTTGATAGAAACCTCCTGGCCTAAACCATAGATTAGTTTCTCCAAAGGAACTGAATCGAAGGGTTTTAGCAAAGCAGCGGAATACAGATCAAATCAAATGAATTAAAACCTAGATTCATTACATTTTTCTATAGACGTTCATTAGAGTCAAACATTATCAATAACAAGCGAAATGGAAACGTATAACAATAAAACATTACAAAATATTCGTACGAAGAAAACAAGTTCCATGCAATTATTTGTGTTTACTGACGAGAATAACAATTGAATGAGTCCAAAGCAATTCAAATAGTTTGAAATATTGCACTCAAACACAAGTGACAATGTGATATCTATTTGTTTCCTATTCGAGTACTTACATTCTTCAAATAAATACAGTGAAATCTATAATTTTGTGATTGTTCAGATTTTATAATAGTAAAAAAGAATGAATGATCATTATAGATGCATGTTTTGAATTTGTTCTAAAAGAATCTTCTTCACCAAAGGATTTTTTTTTATATACGCCGCTAATTCATTTAGCGAATGGTTTAACGGATGAGGAAGTAAACATTGACGAAATAAAACTTGTTAATGAATCATAAGATTCTTCTCAATATTATTTTTATTGAATTTTTGAACAAATGGCATCTATAAGAAGTGAATGAATCATATCGATTTATTTTGAAGCAGCTGTTTTTATTGCAAATGAAAGTGATGATGCATAATAGTTTATAACGAAGAAATCCGAATAAAAAATATTTCAGTAATCAATGGCATACTTTTTCCTATATATTGATATGAGGCATGGAGTAACTGGAAGGTAATATTGAAAGTTCGTGACATTGATGGTGGAGTGAAAGTTTTGACTCGACCTATCAGTTTCATCGTTGTTAGTTCATCGCTGTAGGGAAGAAGCGTTTTTATCACTGTAAAACTATGGGCAGAAGATCCCAAAT